TTGTAAAAATCAAACTTTCAGAACTTTCTCAACAAGAAAGCCACAAATATACTTGAAGTAAAAACATTAAAAATTATTTCCAGGAGACATTCAAGGCCTTGACATTCAGTAGTTCTTATTTTCTCATTCTCATTTTCTGTTTTTTTTTTTCGCTCATTCATGATTGTTTTTGCATAAACCCCTCTGGTACCAACCAAGTGATAACGGAATACGTACCTTGCCACATTAAAGCACTCATCACAAACCAGAAACTGTTCATACACGTAAAAGACTCTCCCTCTCGTAGAGAGGCCTCGCCATCACGTGACATCCTCCGCCATTCATAAGGATTAAAATAAGACACCACATAAAGAAGTGTGCTGGTAACAACAAACGAAATGAAAATCATCATCCATACACTAGGCTTTAAAGGATCCCAGACCCTCAGCAGACGATGGCCGATTGATTCTTCAGCTTTGTGTGGTTGCCTTAGAACTATACCAAAAGGTGTAGTCAGAAAAGGAGTTGAAAAATCGACAACTTGTGCCCGCTCCGAAGTTATTGTAAATGGACCGGCGGCCAAATCCACTCTCTATGAAAAAATTATAAAAGAAACAAAATTTAGTATTCATAAATTGAGAACAAGCCATGCAAAGTGCATAGAGCTTCAAAAGTATAAAATAAAATCATATGCAATTTGTGAAATTTTAAAGAAAAGTATTATTATTGAAACGTCCCAATAGCCAACATCGGAACTATTATTTCGTCTTTAATTCCGTCGCGGTTTTAATATTTAGTGTGTCTAACGAGATCTCGTTTTTGGCGTGAACTTGGGCAACATTTTGTAAACAAGGACGCGCTGCAGAACTTGTCATGTCTTATGATGTCAAATAACCGCGTCTTACCTGCAAATAACCATGGTAAATTACCATTGTATTGCCGTGGGATGTAACAATGACTCCAGGAAATCTAACAGACTCAGTAAATACCCGCATATGGTAGATAAAAATGGAAATGTTGTCAATTTTTATGTATTGCCTTCCGCAACTAAAAATCCAAAACTTCGGCGCCAGTGGATAAATGCGGTACGTCGTAAAAATTTCAAACCTAGTAACACAGATCACTGGCACGCAGTATGCTCCAGACATTTTGTAGATGGAAGACCCACTGATACTTACCCAATACCAACTTTATTTGAATATAATAACTACATGCATGACCAGGCCCAGGGTCAAGGAAAGAGGAAAACATTGACTTCAAAATACAACAGTACTTCATCTTCCCAGGGGTTTGTATTTTAGCTTCTCGATCAATGATAATTTTACATAAAAATGTGATACCCATATTTCTATTATCAGATTATTAGGCCAAACGAAAATATATATTCTTGTTTCCTGTTCCCTGACCAAAAAAGAAATAGGGTAGGTAGGTAGGGAAAAAATTAATTTCATAGCTCAATGGATGGAGAATATGTATCATGTAATAACAAGAAAACAGTATGTTTACACTTTACAGAGCAGGTTTATTAATAAAGATTTATAAAATAAAGGTATCCTGTGCACTTTAGATGTATTAGCTCTGTTAATATTGTTGGCCGGGTGACTTTAGTATTTCAGGAAAATAGCCCCCCTCCCCCAATGAATATAAAAAAAAGTTAGGGTTGCAGGGTAAAATGTTAGGGTAGCTCGGGTGACAGGAAACAAGAGTACATATTAATTTCTTGCGTAAAGAATATATTCAATATAATTTGCATGAATAATCAATATCTAAATTTCATTCAGAAACACACACACACAAATATCATTTTATATAGCATGAATTATGTTGTAATAAAAACTGTTAATCAAACATTTTACGTGCAGAAATGAAAGTCACTCTGAAGGAAAAAAACAAAGGACTTCACAGACTAGTGTATTTGTCCAGCCAGTACCAGTGGCAGAGTTATATCAAGGCATACAGCATGAAATCATTATTCCTGACAAGGAAGGAGGAAAAGGTTGGAAGACACAGTTTTCTTAAAAATAACTAAAAACATAACACTTCTTTGATTTTGTTTAAAAAGTTTGTCATTTATCTATGTTTTTTTTCTATTATCAGAAATGTCTGGATTAAAGAAACTTGCATAATCAATAATAACAAATATATCCAAAAAGATCATAACCAGTATATTTTCATATGCATAAAAATATGCTTTTGTATATGTATTTTTCTTTCACAGTTCCAATTACAACTGATACACCATATTCCCTACCTGGCATCATGCAACATGACCACCCATATGTAGCGAGTCCTGTGTCAGGTTCATCTCATCTTAGTGACACAGACTGGGCAGATGCTGATACCCAAATAACAAATTTGGAACATGAAAATAGGCATCTGAAGGTATTTTTACAGCAGAGCAATTGTTTTTTTTTAATTATTTCATGTTATGTCACATAAATACATGTACAGGGTGTTTGAGCAAATATGTATTCTCTATTGTTTTTAATGTTTGTTTAAAAAAAATTTAATGTGTGCTTAACTTTGTAGGTTCATTGTGAACAACTTGAGGAGAGGGTAGTGGCTTTTCAAGAGGAAAACACACAACTGAAAAATCAGTTAAATGAAAGTGAAAGACAAAGAAAGGAAGTTGAATCCAAACTTCAAAACAAAGACAAACTTTTCCGAGAGATTTTAATAGATAAACTAACGAAGTGTGACAACCATGTAAGACTTTTTCTTGGGCTGCCTTCTCTTCTGTTTTTAAAGGGTTTGTTCGACATATTGAATGGCGCAGCTTCCAGTATGAAGTATTGGACTCGTAGATCATCAAGTCATGAAAAAAAGTGGCACTCAGAAAATTTAAGGAGACCTGGTAAACAAAGAAAACTGCAGTTATTTGAAGAATTCATTTTGGCACTACTTCGTCTGCGTTTAGGCCTGAACACCATGTTCTGTTCAGTTTTGTTTGGCGTGTCTCAGTCCACAGTTTCTTCCATATTCACCACATGGATGTGTTTCCTAGATCAGCAATTAAAACCATTACTTAAGTGGCCATCAAGGCAAAAAATAAAAAAGCATATGCCTCTTTCCTTCCGTTTAAAATACCCAAACACAAGAGTCATAATTGATGCAACAGAGATCTTTGTTCAACGTCCGAGGAATCCTTCAGCTCAGAGCAGAACTTGGTCAAATTACAAAAACAAGAACACTTTCAAAGCACTGGTTGGGATTTCACCAAATGGGGCCTTTACATTCATATCTGAATTATGGTCTGGAAACATTTCAGATCGCAGCATTACTCTGAGAAGTGGATTTCTAGATCTTATTCAGCGAGGTGATCATGTTATGGCAGATCGCGGATTTCTAATTAATGACCTCCTTCTTCAAAGGGGAGCCCAGCTGAATATGCCACCATTTTGTCGGCCATGTCAGTATGGAAAAGGCAAATACTTGACATCTAAACAAATTAAGGAGTCGAAAAACATTGCCTCATTGCGCATTCATGTGGAGCGTGCAATTCAGAGACTGAAAAGTTACAAATTCTTTGATGGTATTATGTACATAAAATCATTGTCTGTTGCAAATCAAGCCTTACAAGTAGCGGGTATTTTTTGTAATTTTATGGCTCCCCTTGTCAGCAAAGTTCAGAAAAAATAAGATTTTCTAACTAAGTAAATAAAATACCATGATTATTGTTTGCAAGTGCTATAACATTACAAGTGCAACAACTTAAATTTTGTGCCAAAAGTTCATTCTTTTACATTATTTATTTGATATTTATTTAGTTCACTGTTTTGAATGAAGGAAGTTTTATGTTAGTGTTATCTGTTATGTACTGTTATATTGACATATCTATTATTACAGATTTACTGATTAAAAGTTTATATGAAGGACAAATCTTTTTTATCAGTGTTCCGTAATGCTGCACTAAGTCTGCAATATTCAAAGCATGTAGGAAAAAAAATGACTGATTTGGATATGTTTCGAACAATTTCTTTAATTTTTTAAATATAAATTGCATAATAATAAATTCAGTTGATGATGATTTTTGGAAATATAAATGTCTTATAAAACTTGACAATTTTTTCTTTCATACATTCCCATATTTGTCCATTGAAGAACACTCTTTCAGAAAAAATTCCTGAGTGTGTGTACAAAATAAAATCACAATAGGTACGTTTTGTAACAGCCATTTGACACATCATTTGACAATAATATGGTGAGTTACTGTTTTTCCTTAAAACAGGAAATCCTTTTCTTAGTTCAAAATTTTTTAAATCACATGCTGCTGCCTCCTTTGGATTTTTATCTTTATACTTGTATGGACATTTAATTTCGAGGCACCCCGGTAAACAACAATCACACTCTAGTAAACCATCTGGTGAGGCACCAATGAAAGGAAGCTCATCATCGATTATCAGGCCTGCACTGGAATATCTTAGATTAGTGTGAATTTTCCCATTTAACTCCAAATACATATCTCTAGCTTTTGCTTCGTATTTTCTACCATGTACAAGTGCAGGAATACAATTAGATTCTGAAGTAGCATATTTTTTACAAAGAATTTGTGTAACAAGGCTACCATTTTCATTCCGACCACTGAAATGCAGGCAGTTAAACACAGATGATGCAGTAATGCGACCTGCTCTTTGATGATGCCATACATCTGATGAGTTTTGACCAACTGTACATTTTGAAATTTTGACCGCAAGATTTCTGTCAAAATAAACTCTAAGACCATCAACAAATTCTTCAAAGGAAGCATTTGGATTCATCACATAAAAATTTTGAGCAAATTCAGTCACATTCTCACACACACTTTCTTCAAATTCATACTCAGAATCAGAACTATCAGATAGGGTATATGCTGCACATGCAGCCAATTTTTCTGCTTTTAAAAGTTTGTATATATCTTTTTCAGTTCGATTGTTTAATTGTTCATTAGTAACAGGTGTGTATTCTTCATCACATGCCATGGGCTGAGGTTGGTTGTTTGGTTGCTGTCTTAGATCAAGGTCGGTAATTTTTACTGGTCTTGTTGACCTCACAGGATTTGTCCACTTAGCCTTTTTATCAGTGACACCAATCTCTGTTCGATCATTCAGTCCTAGGCAAAATTGTTGAAGTCCAAACAGCAAAGCAGCAATATGCTTACATGTACCATCACCACTACAAAAAAATTATGGTACTGCTATTTATATTATGAAGTCAAAATTTGGCATCTTTATTCATGCTTTGATACCTTTGCTATCGTTTAAAAAAAATACCATTTATTCATGCAGAATTTTAATTTTGCGAATCGTTGAATGCTTTAAAAAATATATTATACTTTTTAAAAAATCATTACAGCTTTTCTTCTGGAGAACAGTTAGTTATTTCCGCAATCTGATAATTTTTTCTTTTAAAAACATTGGATAGAAAATTCTGATCTGTATAAATATAAAATGCTTATAGAGCAGCCAACATTTAAGAAAAACACTGATATCATGTCACAACCTAGAATTATAATTTCAATCCAATGTTTTCTCAAACGTCCGCGACGAATTATTGTATAATAGATCTAGTACATACGCAACACATGTGCACTCTCCAGAGACAATTGTTCCATTCTCTTGTACCAACAGCCACATTTTGTAGGGCTCAGCTGTCTGTCGTTCCTCTGGAGTGGATGAACCTCTGATATAGCATAGATTAGAGTCGAGTTTAGACATGGCCACGTTACTAATGTGACCATTTGAATGCAAGCGGTAGCTGTTGTCGGATTTGTAATTTTTCAGTCTTTCATTTGTCCACAGGCAACTGGTTTTTAAATAATACTGAATATCATACGCCTCAATGGACGGTATTTTATCTAAACAATCATCCCATTTAATATTTGGGGAATTGGGATGTGGATATGTTACGCCATGGACAGTCCTACGTTTCAGTCGATCTGCAGAATCTTGTGCTAAATCGCATTTTGGCTGCAAATTTTGTCTACACGCTTCGCGAGCTAAGTCTAATAACTCATGTTTTCTGTAGCCCGATACCCTTATACCACGATCTGTCAAAAATTTCTTTAAATCGGGCAAAGATTTTTGCACAAGAAATGATTCGTTCTCTGCCATTAGATTAGCTACCGATTTGTTTACAAAAGTTGCCCAAGTTACGCGTCATTTTTGTGACTTCTTTTTTAAAAGAGTTCCACAATTTTGGAGTTCCGATATTCCGTATTCTTAATGCAACACGCACAATTACAGATACTAATCAATTAAGCAGTAAAGTTTCATGACGAATGTCCAAGGAACCAGAGAGAACACTCGCGGACAAAATTCGTTGCTTTTTGTAGGTTTCCATGGCAACGGTAGCCATTTTGAAACTGAATGACCACATGGCACAACTACAACCAGTGATCGTTCTTTGAGGGAAGTTTCAGGAAGATTGTCCCAGCCATCTTCGAGAAACCGCCTGGACAAAAAACATGCGTACAATCGCAATTTGTCGTCCCCGACTTCGTTCGGGGCGACATAATAAATATTTCCTTCAGAACTTCCTACAGTTCGATAAAACCTCACAATAAATATCACCCTCAGAACTTACAATTAAATGATTAAGTAAAACATCACAATAAATATCACCCTCAGAACTGACAATTAAATGATTAAGGGGACGACCATTTGATTCTGAGGGGGGGGGGGGGGGGGGGGGCTGGCAGATTTTGGAAATAAATAATCTGTCCCTGAAAATGTTGAAAATAAATAATCTGCCCTCCTCTGCAAAGAAAATAAATAATCTGACCTTGACTTATGATATTTAAATATTGTGAAAATACCTTTTTATTTCTGTGTAATTTAACCTCAGAATCTTCAATTCAGCAATTTTTTTTGGCTCGCTTCGCTCGCCATTTTAGAACCAAATAATATTTAAAATCAGATTACCAGACTGGATACTTGTAGTCAGTTGATCAACATGACAATGTGCACTCAGTAGATGTGATGAATCACTTTAAATACAAGCAAATTCTTAAACACCACAAAAGATAAATTTTCTTGTCAAAGAATTATACTTCCCGATAAAGTATACAGTGGTGGATTTAAGGAAGGTATACATGTGTATGACCCCTCCCCTTAAATTTCAAAGTATGATATGAATTATATTAATATTGCCATATTTTAGTACAATACCAATATTTTTGTGCCTAGTTTTACTCTTAAAATACACAAAAACCAAAGAGCTTCAGGGGCCCCCTTCATCCAAAGTATGATATGACTAGTATTAATTATGTCATACTTTGGAACATAACTAACCAATTCCTTGATAATTGTGCCTGGTTTTACTCTTAAAATACACAAAAACCCACGAGCTTCAGGGGGCTTCGCCCCCTGGACCACCTTCATTCAAAGTATGATATGACCAATATCAATAATGTCATACTTTGCTACATAATAACCAATACCACTATAATTGTCCTGGTTTTACTCTTAAAATACCCGAAAACCCAAGAGCTTCTGGGGAATTTCCCTCCCTTGGCCTCCACCAGTGCTTCGCCCAGGACCCACTGGGGGCCTTAAGGCGGCCCCAAACCTTTTGCCTGAATGAAGTTATACACGCCCCTTATCCTAAATGATTAGTCTTTTTAGAATCAATCTATCAAGGTACCGTAAGACAAAGAAGAAAATGAATAATCTGTCCTCGATAATCTTGAAAATAGATAATCTGTCCTTGACAGGCATGAAAATAAATAATCCGTCTCAAAAAAATTTGCCAGCCCCCCCCCCCCCCCCCCCCCCCCCCCCCCTCAGAATCAAATGGTCGTCCCCTAAGTAAAACATCACAATAAATATCACCTCCAGAACTTCCTACAGTTATATACTAGTAACACATCACATTAAGAGCGTGTCTCAGAGAAAAACATGCAAAATCTGAAAAATCGTCCGGGAGGGTCTACAAAACTTTTCATTTTTTCATATATTTTTAAGGTCTAGGTTGTCTGAGGATCTAAAATTTAAATTTGGAAAGTGTGCCACGTGTTTCTATTTTTAGTAACAGCCCCGTTTCTATATTTAGCAAAAATTGGCATAAAATAGTAGGTGCAAATATGAAAGTTTGAGACCTTGCAAAATCAATTGAAAAATTTTTGCAATGCCAGATATTTATTATGTCATCAACACATATATGTCAAAGATGAAAAATATTTATTTTTCACAATGATTGCATCTATATGTATTCTATGATCGAGCCACGAGTAAGGCTAAATTTAGAACTTTAGATTTATTATCCTTGTTTAGTGCAATGGTACAGCTTAAATGGAGAAAATAATTTGATCTAATAATGTGCTTTATAATGATTTATTTATGTTCTATCAAATATAAAAAATTCACTGATGGCTTTTAATAGGACATATAACAAATAATTGGTGGAAATGGTGACCTTACGATGTTAGTCAAGCTCTCCATTTGTATCTTAAAATTGTTCAAAAGTAATGAATATTTCTTCAATTGATGATTAATAATTTTAGTTTAGTGTAAATAAATGCTGAGAAAGACAATCAAAATTAAAACCTTCGTGAAAGTTTAAAATATTCACCAAAATTGATAAAGAAAGATAATAAAATGAGTGTTATTTGTGTGTTGAAGAGTTATCTCCCGTAGTAGAACTCTCCATACAAAACATAGGTAATCAGAGATTACAGAGCTCACATCAACAAATGTTGTCTTAAGTAAGGCAAAGTCACACAATTAACCAACAAAAAATGTACATTCCAAAAATGAAAATATCTAAGCA